AAACATGATTAGAAGCTAATATAGATTAAGGGGGTCGACTGAATGGGTTAACCATCAGATTTTCGACTGACCCCTCTTCTTCTCTTCCTCTTCTTCTTCTTCTTCTTCTTCTTCTTCTTCTTCTCCTCTTCCTGTTCGGACTACTGTAGCAGCAGTCGAAATAATATAAAATAAATATTTTATTGATATAAAGTATATAAATATATAAATTATTTATATAAATTAATTATTATATATAAATTATATAAAATATTTTATATATTATATAACAATTAAATAATCGGTCGAATTCAGATATTTATCAAATCGAATCAGGTCATATCCGAATTCGAATCCGATTAACTATTCGGTAAGAATAGGATATCCGAATTCGACCGATTAGATATTCGAATTATCCGAATTCGATTCGATTATGTCGAATATCGAATTCGAAATCGGATTTTTGAATACCGTTGACACCCCTACACTCAAGTTGTGAAAGTTATAGCATTTTCATTTCTTTCCACATTAAATTACACATCAATTATAACCTAACATTACTTACCAAGTCCGAGTTGTCTTGGTTCCAATGGGAACCAATACAGCACTCACACAATGCCCAAATGAAGCTCATAGACATTTTTTTTATCTGCAATAAAGAAAATTTTATTAAAACTAATTAAGAAAAAGGTTACAGCAAGAAGTTGTTAAATCTGAGCACTCTTTACATCAAAAGAATCCCTCCATCGCATTATAATTGAGCCCAATACAAGTGATTTTGATGCATTCCTTGCTTAGCTAATCCATCAGCCAATCCATTAGCGAACCTTCTTACCCATCTAAATTGAATGTTGTGAGCTATTGACAACATCTTGAACCGCCTGAAATCATTACTTTATTGCCAAATCACCCCCTTTCCTTTCTTCAGCCACCCAATTATTATTTTTGAATACCCTTCCACAATTAACCTTGTGATTCCCATTTCCCTAACATTTTGTAGCCCAGAAACAGCAGTCATTAACTCTGCCGTAACTGAATCACCTTGTCCAATTGGCCTCAAAAACAATCCACATATGTTCCCCCCATCCTGAATCACTCATCTAATTGCCGAGTCCCGGATTTCCCAAACTACTTCCATCAAAGTTTAATTTCATCCATCATCCATCTGGAGGTGACCAAACCTCATGGATTCTTTGCTTCCTAGACGATGAGCCAGCAATTGAACTCCAATTTCTGAAGAAGTCGTCTACTGTAAAATCTGAAAATAGCTACATGGTCTTCACCCAGTGTGCTACTGCTACCCTTGGATTAACAATCTCAATAATTGCCTCCTTATTCTTCTCTTTTTCCTCGAAGATTCATGTGTTCCTCTCCTCCCAAATTGTCCAAACTACCACTGCCCTTCTGCATCTCTACAATATTCTGCCTCTTCTTATTTATCAGAAAAAAAATATTCTGCCTCTTCTCTTAGTGCTCCTTAGGAAAGATTGACTAAAGAGTCTATCCAAACTAACAGGAGGGATCTGCCTAATGAAGCTCATAGACATTCAACAGTTTCTATGTTTCTTTTTAGCATCAGAATAGGAAAAGCAATCAAAAGAATTTATGATACCTTGTGTTTCAATATCAAATCAATGATCCACCAATTAAAGGCCTGCACTATGCAGTAATGCATAGATGAATGGGTCCTACATTGGATGTTGAACTATCAGCACCACACCTATTAGGCTTGTATTGTCATTGCCCTGTTGTATGAATGATCTTCAAGTGGATAAGGAAATGATGGACCCACCAATGGTCTAGGATGCCACGACTGTAATAAGAATTTGATTGAGCAAAGCAGTGCCATCTATGGCATGTATTTATATTCTTGATGGTATTTTCCCACTCATATTCCTTTCCATTTTTCATACCCCAAGGAGAGAAATGCAATCATCATCACTTCCAGGGTTCATCCAAAAACATCATGGTGTAGTCCCCTTGTAATTTACAACAGTGACTGCCCCATCCATCCTGTCAAAACTTGGTTCATTTAAAAGCATCAAGTTATCAATTAAAGCAAATATTGTCACACCAAATTCTCAATAGATTCAACTGCAGTACATCTGAGTGGAAAACCCATAGAAAAATAAGAAAAATAGAACGACCTTCAGGAATTCTATCAGGAAGATCTCCTACATTAAACAATATAAAAGCGGGGTGGTAGGCATAAAAGGTTTTCCTTGTATGCTTTTTCATCATCCCATAAAATTCTTTCAAAGATGACCTATCTAGGAGGTGATATTGAACGAATATTTTTATTAGTTAATGCCTACCAAGACTTGGAGCCATGATGGTTCATATTCATTCATTTATCATATATTTAGGACTTATTTCTTGATGTAATGCTTTCAATAAGGGATAAACATACTCAGCCTAAGTGTTTCAATGTCTGTCTGTTATCAAGTTCCCATCCTTTATATATTAGTTTTGGACTTCCTCTTCTCCTATGAACACCTGAACTATAACAGTAATGTGATATCAAATTCTTGCTTCCATATATAGTGAAGTCAAATTTAACAAAGCCTTGTCCAAACTATATGGGGTAGGCTTCTTTATTCGTTATACCAGAAGCTAAATTGTAACATTGTGGTCTTATTTTCCTGGTAAATTAATAACATTGTGGTGGAGGTCTGTCCTGAACTCTCTCTCAACTACAGGGCATTTGGATGTCATTTCTTGTATGACAGTGCACAACTTTTGATTTTATTCATCCATGAATGTTTCCTAGATGCTAATGGCTTATACTAACTACATTTTATCACCTTTAATCCTTTCAGGTTTTTGCTGGTTCTGTAGATGCTAATGGCTTTCAGTGTTTCACAACCTTCTACTTCATGGTGATGACTAGCTGAAGCAATTCTATTTAAAGCAGAAGCTGAGATCAGCATCTAAGATTTCAAACGTTTAAATAATATCCATCCATTAATTCTTTATATCCTTTAATGATCCTACATAAGTTACTGTTGTAATTAATACATTGGTGTGGAATATGTGAATAAATATTTTTCAGTTCAAGGATGTCAATCATTCTGTTAACCATATCCACTACTGTTGAATATTATTGCATTTGAAGTCGTATCTGTCTGTAGACAACTCCATTCCTTTATCCCTTTTACTATTCTGAACATACCCCTAAAATGTACATTTAAGTGGTTCAATGCATCAGACTTCACTAGGATTTGAGTTATATCAGAAACTATCCTTCACTTTTCTAACATTCTCTTAAAGTTCCCATGACTTCTATGTACCTCCAGCACCCCCTGTTAGATAATTTTGTTTTTAACATCTATACATTGTGCCAAATCAATATTAATGACCATAACTGAAGTAGTCCACATGCACTATAGTTATATCTTAATGACAAAACTAACCCTGACCAACCAGGTTATCCTATTAACTAATTTTGTATGATGAGAATGCCCTTGGTTTCTATTTCCTCTAGTTCAATTTGTGGGAATGGGTGAACCAATTGTCGGAATTTGGTTAAAAGAGATAAAGTTGGATAGAGGGTGTCATTGTAATCTTGCAAACGCTGATCATTTTCTAACAAAATGTCTGACAAGGGGGTCTCTGAAAGAGGTATCCAAAAGTCGGGGCAAGTTTAAGTGAAGGTGAATTCCAGAGAAAGTTAGGAACTTGGCATCCTTTGTTAAGTGAAGGGGAATTTCAGAGAAATTTTGGCTCAAAGAGAAACCTCTCCTCAGATAAAACCATTACCATTTTAATTCTGAAACATGCAAATTTACCTTTGTCTAAGAGTAACAACTTGTAATTTAGCCACCTCATTTTCAGATTAGTCCTGTGTGTAGGGTTTCTAATTTACATGGGGTATCTTTTGTCTTTCCATTGGAAGTAACCACTAACCAGTTTCTAACACAGGATTTATCCAAATCAACGCTCTGAATTAGTCATGGTTCATATTTTCCTTTCTTAGTTATTTGTTGTATACTAAACACTAACATCTACCTTTTCCATCTTTTTAATCTGGTTCTTGCTACAATGCGATTGCCAAATAAGATCCCCCCTATTTGCATTACTTGTTTCTAACTTTCTACATCCTTAACAAACGACATTAGTATTAAGCAACTTCTTAATAACATTGTAAGACCATCTCACCGTTTGAGGTTGTATTTTTTATCAAACCATATATCAAGCGACCAAATTACACATTTATTTTGCAAGTATGAAGGGTTGAAGAAACCAGAAAGCACACATTCACATCTCACTGAAGCAGATTTCCCCACTGTCAGAATCCGGGACATTGTTATTATAATGGGTTCCTAAGCCTCAGTTTGGAAGGAGTATGAATACAAATATGTACAGTACAAATACATACAAAATACAAGGTTTTGCACTTTACATATTTGTATTTATACTCCTTTCAAACTGAGCCTAAGGCTGCATTTGGAAACAATGCAAATGGACTTTCGCCTGTGTTTGACAACATTACATTTAACTGATTAATGCATATTTACATTGATAATAAAAAGTAAAAGTACATCAAAGTAAATTTGCATTCAAGTAGGCTTTTAATAAAAAAATGTATAATCATTATTGGAATTCATTTGAGCTTTGAAGCCCAAGTCCGCAGCCATGTCTGCAAGTTCTCCTTACCCAGCCCCAGACACTAGGCCTTTGGAAAATTCAGTGATGTAGGGAACTGCTTCCATGGGCGAGGAGCTGAACCAGAACACGGAACCATCTGTGCCTCTACAGCCTGTGTTAGGATTATGCGCTGAATTAGGACTCCGTTCAGTGTATATCTTCTTTGTATAATATATTCTTATCCTTTCCTTATCATGTATAGTTCAGATAGGAAAGATATGTTTGAGTTCCTATAAACTTAGGAGTTCTAGTTGCCATAAGCTTAGGAGATTTGATGGGTATAACCATGTATATTTTGGAATTCTCAATGAATAAGATAGAAAGAATCAACCAGAAAAGCTCTGGTTTTACATGGTATCAGAGCCATGATGATTGCTAGTTGATTGAGTCAATTGCGCTTGCTCTCAGTCTTGGTTCTTATTCGATTCTCACCACACCAACGACTGAAAGTTGTAGGAGAGTGAAGATATTGGTCATCAGAAGGAACCACTTGGGCACCAAAGGCTTGCCGTTGTCCAAGAAGGTGACGATCCCGACATTGAAGAAGGTGACGATCACCACCGTGTAGCAAACAGACAGTCCCTTGAACATCTTGCCCTTCACCGGAGGTGCCAACAGGAGTGAGAGGTCTGTGTTCCAAGACCTTTGGAGATCAGTGGCAGCATCGACGTTGTTCGGCGCCGGCAATAGACAAACTTTGCACTCCAGATTCAGTTCGGCACTCTGTTTTTCGCAGAGTTCTTCGGTCCTCTTCTCCTTCTATAAAAATTCCGTTCGACCGAAACTGAACGGTTCTTCTTGTGCAAGTAACAGAGAACTCGGATTCTCGATCAGAACGTTCTGATGTCTTCTCTGGCGAGTTAACATTCTGTGGCAGGGAGATCCGAAGATCAGTCCATTGTCTTTTGTGGCGATTCTGCCACCGATTGCGGGCTTTTAGACACAATAGTCGGCATGGCTGAAATTAGAGAAAAAGTGCAAGGCAATGCATCTCAAGGAGAATCAATTGATGCAGCTAAGACTGTGTTAAATAGACTGAGTAGTGAGTAGTGGAACATGTTACTCAACCTTTTGAACACATAGAAAGAGGAACCGAATTGTATTGTCTAGTTCACTAATAAATTCTGTGTGATATAGGACCGCACTACGAGGATGCTGATTGGAGCGGGTGAGCAGTGAGAGGGACTCTATTATTTTTGAAGCATTGCATCAACAAGAGCAATGAAGACTAAAGAAAGCAGGACATGTGATATTTGGCATCAAAGGTTAGGGCATCATTCTTATAGAATTGTTAAGTTGCTGCCTTTTATTAATACTAAGAATAATAATGATGACAATATTAAGGGTTGTGATGTATGCTTCCGAGCTAAACAATGCCGAGAAGAGTTTGTTTCTAATAATAATAAAGCATCCTATATTTTTGAGTTAATTCATTGTGATTTGTGGGGTCCTTATAGAACCACAACTTCTTGTGGAGCTCATTATTTCTTGACCATAGTAGACGACTTTTCTAGAGGTGTTTGGATTTATTTTCTGGTTGATAAGACAAAAGTGGGACGAGTTCTTTGAAATTTTTTTGCTATGGTTCAAAGGCAATTTGACAAACCTGTAAAGGTGATCCGTATTGATAATGAGACTGAGTTTGTCTGCTTGGCTAGTTATTTTGCTGAACATGGTATTATTCATCAAACCACTTGTGTCGGGACCTCTCAACAAAACGGGAGGGTTGAACGCAAGCACCGCCACATACTCGATGTTGCCCGAGCCTTGCGCTTTCAAGCTAGCTTGCCTATTGATTTTTGGGGGGAATGTGTCTTGACCGCATGTTATTTGATTAATCGGACACCGTCCATTCTGTTGAAGGGAAAGACTCCCTATGAAGTGTTATTTGGGCGACCTCCTTCTTATGAAAATGTGTGACTTTTTTGTTGCTTAGCATATGTGCACAATCATGGACATGGAGGGGATAAATTTGTCAGTCGAAGCAGATGGTGTGTTTTTGTTGGGTATCCTTTTGGAAAGAAATGATGAAGCTTGTATGATTTAGAGTCCAACATGTTCTTTGCATCAAGAGATGTCACTTTTTTAGAGCATGGATTCTCGTATGCATACAAGGAGGATGCACAGCCAAACAAAGCACAAGGCCAATTTAATTATGGAATAGGTGGGACAGATGAGGTGCCATCCACTTATTTACCTAGACAAGCAAATGGCAAGATGGAGATTGACTAGCGAGGTGAACTCGCTGAAGAAGGAACCTGTGTAGACCCGAATGCAAATGCTAGTGAACCCATGCATTATTGTGACGCCACCACAGAAAATGCAAGCGAAGACAGTCCTGACATAAGGGGGGGGGGTGACGATATTGAGCAACAACATTCTGAGTTTCATTTGGGGCGTGGGCATCGACAGAAACAACAGTCCACAAGGTTGAGAGATTATGTGCTTCACACCACACATCGATTGAGTCCCTCTCCGCGTCTCTTTGCAAGCTCACTCGGCCAATTACATTTTGCAGGTAGTCCTTATCCCATAGATAACTATGTGAACTGTAACAATTTCTCTTCTCAACATCGTGCTTTCTTGGCAGCTATTACTGCAGGAGTTGAACCTACTTCTTTTGCTAAGGCCATAAAGGATGAAAAATGGAGGGATGCGATGTAGAAAGAAATACATGCACTTGAAAATAATCAAACATGGACTGTGGAGCCTTTGCCATCAGGAAAACGAGACATAGGATGCAAATGGGTGTATCGAATCAAGTATAATGCTGATGGAACAGTGGAAAGATACGAAGCCCGTCTCGTGATTTTCGGGAACAAGTAGGTTGAGGGAAATGATTATAATGAAAATTTTGCCCCAGTTGAAAAAATGGTTATTGTCCATACCTTCCTTGCAGTCGCAACAACTAGAAATTGGACGTACATAACGCATTCTTGCATGGTGACCTTCATGAGGAAGTCTACATGCAAATGCCTCCTGGTTTTCAGTCAGATAAACCAGGTATGGTGTGTCGGTTGCGAAAATCTTTGTATGGACTGAAACAAGCGCCGAGATGTTGGTTTGCTAAATTAGCTGCAACCTTGAAGACATATGGATTTCAGCAATCATGTTCATATTACTCCCTCTTCACCTTTCGTAGAGACAGGGTGCATGTGCTTGTCCTCGTGTATGTGGACGACATTGTCGTGTCAGGTAATGATCGTATGGCAATTCAAGTCTTCAAAAATATTTGAGTGACTGCTTTCATATGAAAGACTTGGGACCATTAAAGTATTTTTTAGGCATTGAAGTTGCTCGAAACTCAACAGGAATTTTTCTGTCTCAATGGAAGTATGCTTTGGATATGGATATTATCTCTGAAGTTGGATTACTTGGTGCAAAACCTGCTCCTTTTCCTCTGGAGTAGAATCACAATCTCGCCTTGAC